AAAATAATAGATTTAATTTGTTAGCGCTTTTACAGGTGCTCAAAGACGCTTTACAGATAATAGTGAAGAAAGAAAGAAAAGAGAAGAAAGGAACAACAAATAAATATATAGTTAAAGTTAAAGTCAAATAATACAAAAACAATCACACATGAAAAGCCAGATTGAAGAGGTGAGTTTTTGTGAGTTTTTTGAAGGTGGTGAGGTCGATATATAGCATGTAAAGTCTGTTCTTGTGTTGGAACAGCAGACAGGAGCAGCCTCCATGCAGCACGCTGTTCTGCAACTTCCTGTCATCCAAATCCAGGAACCCTGCAACGAGGACGATGAGCTGGACAAAGATTCGGGGTCAAAGGTGACGATTTGGCAATGCTGGAATTTAGCTTATCCTTGCTTACATTACCGATGACTGTAGGAGTGGTAGTTGTATTTTGTTCGAGTCTGAAGCTATGAAATACTTTAGCAGCTGGAAAAAGGCAGAGATATGACGATGAGTCAAATAGTTCATCCACAAAAAGTTAAAGATCACCATTTTGCGCTCACATCTACGATAGCCATCAAAGCTATCATTGTGAATGACAGATTTAAAGACAGCAGGTGGGAGTTCTCCTAATTGTGAATCATTTTTGCAACGTTTTTATGCCATACTTTAAACTATTAAAACACTGACAGGAAGCTCAGTTCATTTAAAATCACAAACAAATATGATTTAGTAAAAGATAAATATGCTTACAAATAACTGTGTGGCTGATCTTAAGTATATTTAATGTCACAATAACCAGTAAACTATGAGCTATGAAAAGCCGACTGCACAGATACACCTCCCTGAACAACAGCTGCTGGACGAGCCCCCATGTGTTACGGCCCGGCTCATAGGCTGCAACAGAGATGGGAGACCAGACAAGCTAAGTGTAACAAAAGCTTATTTATTTACAATCCCACAAAAACCAAAGGTCTTCAAAGAAACCTAATAAATGTGGAAGTCAGTTATCAGTAATGATTGCGTGTATGGGTGTGTGAAGATGTGCAGAAACAAAGACAGAAGAGTGAGAGGGTAGTTGGGTTGGCCTTTTATGTCGACGGCCCAGGTGTGGCTCATCAGGTTGATCCCCGGAAACACAAACAAGAGCCAGCAAGCAGAACACAAAGGTAGAGACCCCTAGTGGAGTGGAGGGGGTCGTAACAGTGTGGAAACGAGTTAACAAGCCAAGAGAATAGTCAAAATAAGGATAACAGTAATAAATATATGGTTTCGATGACCATCTTCTGCCACTCAGTCATAACGATACAGTACGAATAGAGAATTGACCGAACCAGGTTAAAAGAAGGGGAAAGAATGACCTAAAGATACTCAATGATCTAATCTGATGTAAATAAAGATTGTAACAGCTTTTAGTTTGATATAATAGTGTTGAGTAACATCCACTTCAAATTCCATTCAAAAGAACATATTTGGACGAGTTGTTTTCTGAGTATTTGAGGTTATCTGACAGGGACGTGGGGGTACGTTAATAAACTGACATACTTTTATAATCATCATATTTCACAACTAGTTGCAGTTTCATTTCAGGGCGGGTCTGTGAAATAGTTTATAGACATGTCAGATAAATAGCTGTTGGACTTTAGATTCATATCGAAAGGAACATTTACACAACACATGGTAAGATATCATTTTAGGGAACAATGACAAAGCAAATAACACTGTTTTAGTGTCTGGTCATTCTCGGTTAAAACATAGAGAAGCTGTTGAAGTCTCCTGATGCAATATATTATAATACTCTTTATATTTCAACATAGGCTTCAAATCTTGTGGTGGAAATAACTTTATTATGCAGCTCTGTTTGAACTGTTTATGAAGACACAGGGGCGTTAAACTCAAATACACAGTGGGCCAAAATAAAAAAATGGGTACTAGTCGAGGGCCGGACTGGTTCAATGTTTATTGCAGAACGTATTGAAATGAACTTATTGCACATATTAAACCTGGAACTAACAAAGCTTCAATTATTGCCTATAAAAACAACATTAAACATTAAATAATCAGTTGCATTCATTTCTTATGGCTCTATCTGCAGAGTCATTTCTTATGATTACTTTTTTCCACAGGCCAACAACAGCTTCAAAAAAACTATTCCCCTCAAAGAAAAAACCAAACATGCCCTGTTGTCGTGAGAAAGAAAGTGCAGAAGGAAACATCCATTAAACTCAGGTTGCTGCTCTGTGGTGCTAGTTCAAGCAGATACTTGGCATCTCATCCAGGGTGCAAGTTCATCAATGTTTGGTCTCAGGCTCTGAGCTGAGAAAGGTGTGCGTGCAATATACCGGCGGGCCAGATCTAATAGTAATTAGAAAGTATCCTGCGGCCCGAAATTAAATCCACCAAGGGCCTGATTTGGCCCCCGGGCCTTGAGTTTGACACATGTGCCTTAAACCATTAACACTGTTTTAATTTCTTATTTTGATTTAAACCTTTTGTGTCGAAAGAGATGTACTAGCACTATAACTGTAAGCTAAGTGGACTTTAACTCACACATTTAATTTAATATTCCATTCCTTACACACTTAAAGTAAATCAAATCCTGCTTTATATGCTTTTTTATCTTCAAGGTCAACTTGCATATTTCCTACTTTTTAAATACTGTTTTATTTCTATTTTGAGATGTTTCGATTTTCTACACTTTTAATTTCTACTTGTGTGCAATGCCTTGTTTTCA